TCCATCTGAAAGCACGTGATGGAGATTTACTATTAATCACAGAACCGGCTTTACTGACGAGATGCGCATGGCAATCACATGCGATTTATCGTGCAGCCCTAAGTTTGTTTGTTGATCTCAAAGTACAAAGTAGATGAGGAAAACTAGGATGCCGGGTGTAGGCCTATTCAAAGCTGTCCATTACTGTCTAGAGTGCGTGGAATGGTGTGCTGTGATTGGTTGAGCGGATATATCGCATTCTGCAGAGAAGGGAGGCTGGCGTTTGTCGCGGTTTGGAAAGAAAGGGAGAAAACATGACGCATTTTGCGTAAAATTAAAAATGGACTTTTCAATACCGACTAGATACAATACTGATTTTGGCGGAAACTACATTTTTTTTTTAAAATGGCGTTTATCGCGTTTTGGAACCAAACTCTTCATTTATTGTTTTTGTGATATTTCATTGTAGTTTGTGTTCAAATTAACATAATCTGAAAGCTGAGACTTTGTTTCCTTTCAAAAGTAGCAAAGCAGAAAGTTTTTTGTGATTATTGGATGGTGGACACATTTTTTTCATGGATCCACAGACAACAGCTCAGACAAAAAGATCGTTTTTGGAATTTAGAAAATTGATATTGGTTCATCAAAATGAAGGTTGAAAAAAAATAGATTCGTCAATATTGTAGACGCAGCCCTAATGGAAATTAAGAAAAAAGGCTTAATATATGGATTTTTATAGCAGCTAATGGTGTGTTTCTGCTTGCATAATCCGTGATAATAGGTTCCTTTCTAACTTCAGGATTTTCCATTTGCACACCCACCAGCTAGCACAGGGGAGGGTGTTTTTCTGCCTGACTGGACAGACCTGGTCTCAAGCCCACTACAATCTCAAGGATTCCTTTAATGTTTGATAGACTCCAGCACAGGGATCTCCCCAGAACTCTTGGCTATAGCTGTACATAACGTCAGGTTGCTGCGAAAGAGAAGAATGTTGTGTGGGGAAATCCATGCTGGGATGAACATGCAGTCGTGTGAAGGGAAGGCGTGTTGTAGTGGCTGCTTTTAGCTCTAGGACGCTGAAAGTTTTATGAAGAAGCGACACAGTCTGTGCGCTCCAAGTGTTTTTTTATGTGGCTCCATTCCATTGTTGTTGAAGCTCAAAAGTTTCCAAGGTTTAAACATTATTTCAGTGCTCATCTTCGTCTTCTGACTTTGTTACTTATTCTTGTCATGGATGAACTTCATTGATGGAGAGGAGAACCAGTGCTTAAAGAAGAATTGAATGTCTTCATTAGAGCAGATGTCTTAGAGTGACTTGTCAGACTACTTGGGGTAAGTTAGACCTCATCAGAGATTTCTCAAGGGAAAATTATTGAATGGAAATGCTGTGAGCGTGCTGTGAGTCATGGAGCTGAGTGGTTGAGAAAGATCACCTATTTAGTTGCCCTATTTAGATATATATTAATGTTTTTGAACGTTATGTCTCATGTTCACTGAGGCTGCATTTATTTGAACAGTAATATTGTGAAATATTATTACAATTTGAAGTAACTTTTATATTTTAATATATTTTAAAATGTAATAATAATTTATTCCTGTCATTTTCAACAGTCATTACTCCAGTGTGTCAAGTGTCACATGATCCTGCAGAAATTTTAATATGATGATTTGATTCCTTAAGTACATTTTCTTATTATTATCAGTGTTGAAAACCAGTTGTGCTACATAATATTCAGTGTTGAGTAGAAAGTTCAAAAGAACAGCATTTATTTGAAATCTTTTGTCACATTATAACTGTCTTTACTGTCACTTTTGATCAATTTAATGACGTGTGTTTGGTGCACATTTTTATTTCATATGTATGCAACTAATCCATCTTTTATTTTGTATATAATGGATATTCAAATGAATTATTATAATGCAGAATATTGTGATTGACATAAGGAGTGATATTAAATAAAATTAATTGCACAAGCATTCGGTATAATTATTATTAAGATTTCTTTAGCTTATCAGTTGTTTAGGTTTTCAGTAGGGCTGCACGATAAATCGCATGCGATATTTAACGCGCATCTTGTCAGTAAAGCCGGTTCTTTAATCAGCGGTAAATCTCCATCACCTGCGGGCTTTCACATGGAGCAGCATTAACTACACAGAGCCGTTTTTCACCGACAAGCTGCGCAAAACCACGATCATATTTTGATCAGCTTGTCGGTGAATAACGGCTCTGTGTAATTAATGCTGCTCCATGTGAAAGCCCGCACGTGATGGAGATTTAA